CATTGAAAAAAATCCAAAATTTTTAGATTTTGCAATGAATCTTTATTGGGCTCAATGGATTTCTTCTTCCCTTTGCCTTTTGTTTTTGTTGAGAAACAAAAATAGAGGGAAAAATATTTGGTTTTTGCAGGGAAAACCTCAAAGCAAGGATTTCACTTCCAAATTAATTTTATATAAACTATTTAGGATATATTTGTAATTTAATATTTTAAAATGACTTGAAAATATTTTTATATGAATTAAAAAATTACATTACTTGAAATTGTTTCAGTACTCACTAAAATAAGAGTAATTCTATAGTTTAATAATTAAATTAAAAAAATTAAACTTTAGTGACTAAAATAAGAGTGAGAAGATAGGTGAATGATGTAATTTACCTAAAAAAATAAAAACATATTTTTTAAGTGCTACATGTCATTTTATTAGTGGTCGTAGGGTTCCACATCACTTTCCGTGATGAAAGTGAGCGAATCTGTTAACGGAAAAAACTTCATGTATTAAATTGAGAATTTTTAAACATTATATATGAAAATGAGAATCGGGTATAGTTCATGTATGAATTGGTAATTAACCCAAAAAAAATATTTAGAAAAATTCTACAATGTTCGTCAAAATGTGGATGAGCACCGTTAAAGATGAACCCAATTAAATTAATTTATAAAATATTAAATTATAAAGTACTAAACGTATAATTATAAATTAGTTAAAAATCTAAATGTAATTTAATTAAAATATAAAATTTATGAAAACTTTAGTTTTTAGGATAAACTATGCCATTGATCATCTAATTGTTTATCCCTTTTACTTTAACTACCAATTTTTTAATTTGTCAATCAGGTCACCTAACTATTTAAGTATTGTCAATCAAACCACTGGCTGTTAAATATTAATGAAAGAGATGATGTGACAGTTAATAAAATTTGTATAATTACACATTTAGTTCACATTACTTACACATTTTATTAATTTGATTATAACTTTTAATTAATTCAATAAATTTAGTCCTCAATCAAACAGTGACACGTGTCAATATGTTATTGGATTTTTTATTAATATTTTATTTAATTTAATAAATTTTCCATCTAATCAAATGGTGCCACGTGTCACCAATTGAATTAATAAAAAATAAATTTAATCAATAACTGTTGCTGGTGGAGCTTGAACAAAAAAAAAACATTAGGAGAAAAAGAAAACGACCCAACCACTAGGCTGCAACATTCAAATGACATATTTATCACGACATACTATTTATAATTAATGACAATAAAAAAAGGGAAATAACCTAATAAGAACTTAAACATGGAATAACCGAATAATATGATAATATGATATATATATATACAAACAAATATTATAATTGATTAATATCTGAATGCATTTTATTTATATTTTAAATCATTTTAATGAAAAAATAAAAAAAATAATTTTAATATATTATAATTGAAATATAACAAAGAGCTTCATTGACTTAGAATTTTCTTGATAGTTGAGGGCTTATCGTAGTAACTAGTAAGCATTTTAACTTACGCGTTGACTTGTTTATATCCCGGTTAGAGTAAGAACTTTATATTTTATTATTTATTCGTTATATATTTGAAGAAAATTTTAAGGGAAACTTGATTTTATTGAATTAGTATATTTTAATATAAAGTTGTCAAATAAGATTAGAATCTGTTTGAAATTATAATATTTTAAAATATAAAATATGATATATTTCAGTTCAATAAAATTAGAATGATGAATGCAATTTATTAATTTAAAATATGTAAAATGATACATTTCAATTATAACAAATTAAAGTCACTTTTATTTTAATTTTTTCATTAAATGTGATTTCAAATATAAATAAAAAATATTCATTTATTAATCAATTATAATATTTGTTTATATATAATTTATATTTTCATACTATTCAATTATTTCATGTTTGAGTTATTATAAGGTCATTTATTACCATTAACTATATTATAAATTATATAGATTATATTATGTATACTAGACAAATTTAGTGGTTAGGGTGCTTAGGTGTTTTAGCCGTACCATTTGATTGGCTGAAAAAATTTATTAAATAAAAAATATTAAAAAATCCAATCACACAATGACACATGTCACCATCGGATTGAGGATTTAATTTATTGAATTAAATAAGTGTTGGGACCACATTAATAGAATATATAAGTAACAAGGACAAAATGTGTAATTATACAAAATTTATTAACTACTAAGTCATCTCCTCAGTTAATATTTAACGATATATAGCTTAATTGACAAGATTTAAATAGTTAGGTGACCCAATTGATAAAATTGAAAAATCGATGGTTAAAGTAAAAGGAGTAAATAATTAGGTGGTTAATAATATATTTAACCCTAAAAACTAATATTTTATAAATATTATATTTTAATTAAATTATATTTAAAATTTTAACTAATTTGTAATTATACGTTTAGTACTTTATAATTTAACGTTTTATAAATTCATTCAATAGTGCTCATCATTAACGGTGATTATCTGTACTCATCGAATGTGACAGCATCATTCAAACATTTATTACTTGTTATTTATTAGATTTTTCACTTGAATATTCAATTTACATTATTTTATAACGTCTTTTTGAATAAATTTTTTATTTCTTTTAATATACTTTTTTTAACTATGAGATTTAATTTTAAAAACTTAAATCGTTAAAAAATTAAATAAATTAATATATAACATCTTTTTGAATAAATTAATGTATAACATTAATTCTAAAGCAAATAATATACGATATTTTTAAATGTATAATTATTATAAGATTATTAAAATAGTTATTGGAAAACAAAAGTTATTGATGAAATGGATAAATAATAAAGATTAAATGTGTAATCATATTAATTTTGTTAATTGTTATATAAATTCTTTTATTAAATTAATGACATGAGGTTTGATTGATATCATTTGAATAGTTAAAAAATTTGATTGATATAATTAAAAGATTGATGCTCATATCCAAATCATCTATAGTTAAGTGGTTAAGTGTGTATTTTATCCTTAGATTAAAAATATCCACAAAAAATATATGCACACAAAAATGTTACTCATTACAAATAAAAAATATATTGTTAGAAGAATTTAAACCTATGCAACTTAAGTTAAAAACCTAAATATCGTATTCTATTATTTTCTAAAATTTAAAAATAATTTAAATAAAAATACTGAAAATATCTTTTATGTGTTGATATTTTCATTTACTTTTTATTTTTATTTTTTTTAAATCATTTTTTTGGAATTAATCACTGGTATCTGATCTATTGATCGATTAATCCAAATCGGGTAATGTAGAGGTGAGGTTGACCCTCCCAACTCAGTTTGCTACATTCGCAAACGCCAGGATTCGAACCCCTGACTTTACTTAAGAGACCTAGTGTTTCATCTTAATAGACCAACGGATCTATTTTCTAATTTTATAACTAAATAAATTTTCTTTAACGTTTTCTATTTTTTAGAAAATAAAAACTGGCCTCTAATTTTTAGATGGTTTAATCATTTTTGTTTGGACAGAAAGTCGTAAATGGTTAGAGATAAGCTATTAGCCTATGTAAATGTTCTTTGTCTCTACTGAGAAGTAGAGAAGTGACGTTTTTTTTGTCTCTAGGGGAGTAAAAAAGTAAGTGAGTGCACTACAACAAAATATTTTTAGCGGTTTTTTTTAGTTATATAACGATATTTTTAAACGCCGCTAAAACAATTGTATTTTTAAACGCCGCTAAAACAATTTTGCGCCGGGTGAAGTGATTCCAATCGAATTGAATCCTTTTCCCGATTTCAGTTAATAGATTTTATAGTTAGTCTCGAAGCTTGTGCTAACCTGTCAGGTGTAAAGATATAAAGGTTACCAATAAAATAACAAATTAAACAAATATGATCAGTTCATAATCATTTTTATTTTGATAAATCACGTGAATTTATATAAAATTATTGTCGAAACGGTTTTTTTCCGAGCGAAATTTTAAAAATCAACATCATTTTTAATTATTCTATTTATGATTGATTTTTAATTAGAAATTAAACGTGATAAAAAATCTCTCGTTTCGAAAATTTGGAAATTCCTTTACGATAAAAAAATATACGGTTCGAGGATTCACCATCAATATTTGATTAGGGTGTGATTGAGAACCCAAAAATAAATTTGTCATTTTAATAAAATATTAATTTTAATTAAAACAACAAACTGATGTTTGCGTTATCAGAAAATTAGTTCAGAAGCCGATTACGCGTGGGGAATGATTAGCACCCCAGGCTAAGATTTGGTTTGCTCATGGATGACATCAACATGTGGGAGCTGCAACCGAATCTGGGTCGAGTTGCATGCAGGTCTGAATCGGATTTAGCTTGTTGGGTCAAATGTAATCGGGTCTTCAGAATTGGGTCTGTAGGCTCAGTTGGGCTTGTTGTAAGGCATGCAATAAATAAAAATATTAATAATATAATAATAATTATTATTATATCCCGAACAAAACGGGTGTCTACAATTATATCAATAAATTATTACTTCCTAAAATTTATATCTTTAAGATCCTTCCTCCAAAATCATTCCCTTTTATGTCATTCAGAGTTCCAAAAATGCCAAGAGTTAGAAATGCTTTTGGATTATCGAAGATCCTTTAGCACGAAGTTAATATGTAGAGGGCAAGGGTACAACAAGAACTAAACGCAGCTAATTTCTATTAATACGAGTTGCATATGAATAGTAAATCCATTATACATACATATATATATGTATGCATAAACATGTGTGCATGAATATTGAACTATCAGCTTTGAAACATGATATACAAATAGAAAAAACAGATGGGATGATTTCAATATGAACAAGCCAAGCATCATCGCTCCCCATATGGAATTAATTTCATTCAGAATTCTCAATACTACAATCAGAAAATTTGTAATATCATTGCATTTTCAGTAAATTGTTAATCAACTAACAACTCTTGATTAGGATATCTTCTTCCCATGCTTCATATTATACAAATTTGGAGATCCTGTCGAGATCGATATCGATGCCATTGTAGGCAATAGGAGCATACATCCATAGATCATCAGAGCTTAAAAGCTGTAACAATATCCAATAAAAGGAAAGCATAGTATTAGACTTTTGATTTTATGATTTTTTTTAAGGTTTCTTATTGTCTTTTTCCCTTACCTTAATCTGGAGCTGCAAAAACTTCACATAATGAACAGCTTCTTCAAGCATTGTGCTGATATCAACCTGCATTTTTCATTAATCAGCGTGAGTTTCTGAACCTATTCAACCGTGGAACTAAAATATTGGTTTAATAATTTACCTTGGTTCCATTGGGGACAAGATTTTGTAAAATTCTCAATCTCTCGTTAATCCTCTCTCTTCTTTTCTGCAGTAATTAAGGGAAAAATGATTTAGAATATATACTGAAATATGTAAATGAATCATTGATATAGCTAAGCCTAAGCTGTTATGACCAGGACGGACTCGAGAGGGCTGATGATCTCTTGAAAATTTCAAATTCTCATATAATTTAAATATACGTTTCCAAATATGATATTACATACCCTTGCATAGAGGCTTTGGGGATCAGTGGCTGCCCCTCTACTCGCTCTTGTCTTTGCATTCAAGTTGACAAGTTGAGAAGCATTGGAATCCGAAGTTGCCACGCCATTGTCATCTCCTGAACTGTATGTTGTGCTACAACTGATCAGACCATCCAAACCATTAGTGCTATTCTCTCCTTCATCTACATCTACATTGATCCTGCGGTTATTCTTTGAGTTCTGCGCTTTCTTTGGAACCCTTTGAGCCTGCGTTTTCAAACCATGAATCAGAAACCAGTATAAACAAAAGATTCTATGCATATATGCTTAGTGGATTAATGGCTTGGGATTCATTTTTATCTTACATCTTTCGAAACCCGAGGTCTTTTCTTCATGTTTTCAGATGAATCTTGAATGACATTAGCGTTACTTTCTGCCATTGCAGTGCTTGGGAATGTTGGGGAAGACCAGTCGACAATTTTATGGCTTAACCCACCATTGTCATCAACAGGAAAATGACAAAAACCCGAGGGGTTTATAAAGTTGAATCCCCAATCATTCTCTAAAGGAAACGAGAAACACTGAAGTTGTTGAGTGAAGTTGAATTCATCAATGGCGGACATTCTGTTAAAGGCATTAAACTCTCCATCAGGAAAGGCTGCAAGCGACTCCATCTGATCAATCTACAATAAAGCTTACGTTAATAATTTACTCTGTTTGAAGAGCAGAAACTGGAGAGAGATATATATAGGCCAAGCCCTAAAGGGAATGTTGTTATCAGGGATTGAACTGATTGAGTTAGTAATCCATGGAGTCCAGTGTGGGGCCAAAACCAGGTAAATTACAACTCATTAGGTCGGCCAAGTTCATGCAATGATAGAGATTAAACAAATACAAACCTTTGACTTCATTACGAATGACTCAAGAGTCGCGAACAATCATGGAATTACTACTTCATCAACCATATAAGACATGAAACGTAAGCCTAGACAACAGGGGTCGGTCTTCTATTGAGTAGAATTTTCAAGTCAAGTTGATTTTATAAAATTAGAGTTGAATTGATTTGTTTGAGTTTTTGTTTAAATTTCATTGTAAATATTGATAATTTCATGACACTAATTGATTCTAATTTAAACAAATTTTCATAATCATATACAATATACACATACATATATATTTCTTCATGTTTTCTTCCTATTTAATATACATATATCATACATGGTTGAGGAATTCGATTTGGACTTAGAAAATAAATCCACTAATTACAAATAATTTTGAGTTATTTGAGTCATATTTATAACTCAAACTTTATTTAAAGAAATTTCGAGTCTAGTCTATTTTATGAAATTACGGATTAAAGTCGAGTCAAAAATAAATTTTATCAATCGAGTCGAGTTTTATTCACCCTAGTAGAGAACATGAGAATGAAGGAGCCGTAGTCTTCCCCGTTAGAATTTAGAAATGAGAGAACGTGGGAGTTTTGCAATAAACAAAATAGGCACGAGGAATGTTAAGAGATTAAACAAAAGGCAATGGACGGCCAGATCGTGGGGAATGAGTTTGGTATTATTTAAGAACTTGAAATCCCGACACGGTATCCGTCAAACTCGTTCCATGTCCTAAATGGCAACTGGCATCAACCTAACAGTTGTTCCTTTAAACCCTTTGCATTGGTAGTTAATGTCATCTCTTTACAACTCAGTTTTAACATGTACTAATAGTTATAATAAAATGCAAATCAAAATATATTCCCCCATGGCCACTTATTCTGGAGCATGCATCTTTACCTATTATTTCGTTTGAGAGAAAGAAAAAAAAAACAATCCCATTATCCATAAACCCAAAAGGAACAAAATCTCTACTCAGATCTGTCAAAGCCATAAAAATGTTCAATTTTAAGTTAATCCGAAAGATTGTGCCTTTGCTTCCTATGATTCCGCCGAAACCATCGTTAGAACCTGAGGTGTCAGATAGAGACCATTTTTGAGCTATTTTAATTTTTAGGGGTAAATTATATCATTCTTCACTGAACTTTATTCTCTATTTTATTTCACTAATTTTACTTTAAGTTTTTCTAATTTACTCACTAAACTTTTGAATTATTCCTATTTTGGTCACTCTAATTTATTATTATTATTTTGGTATGATGTAACATTTTTTTATTAGTTAATATAAAAATAATTTAAAATATAAAATTAAAATAGATGATGGCCGTCCATTGTTCAACATCGTTGGACGCCACTGTTCATTGTCCGGTTCGTCTCGACCCCTGAGTCCGAATTCGGCCTCCATTTTGTCAGGACACACTTCAAATTTGATCAAAAGTGAGAAAACTAAAATGCCAACCGTCGTAGATAGTGGCCGTTCGGTCCCAGATTTCATGGGTCACTTCGCCTTGATCCCTGAGTACGAATCCGACCTCCATTTTTTTGGGTAATGCTCCAAAGTCTACAAATAAGATATTGAAAGTAAGGAAACTGAAATGTTTCAGTCTAGATTCACTGTTTTGGGGATATTTTTTTGGTGAAACAACCATCAGATTCGCACTCAGTGTGTCAAAACGAGTCTCTCGATACAATTTGAGATCAAGTGGTTATCGATTCCTAAGGCTGACGATGACGAGAAAGGGTGATAATAATGCTAAAGATGATGGAGAAGTAGAAATTGTATTTTATTATTTATTTTAAATTATTTTTATATTTTAATAATAAAAATAATACACCATAAAATAATAATAATAAAATAATTTGTAGTGACCAAAACAAAAATATTTCAAAACTTTTGTGAGTAAATTAAAAAATTTGAAAGTATAATGAATAAAATAAAATAAAGAATAAAGTTTAATGAGAAATAATATAACTTATCGTAATTTTTAAACAAGAGCTGGAGAAGGTCTTTGATGTTCTTTGCGACTTGCACTGCCCATTACAGTACATGCTTCAACTTTTTAAAACCGCAAAAGAAAAAGTTTAGAAGAAAAGTTCGCCTTCGACTTTGGAGTATCTCTGGTGATCAGAGCTTCTATTTGAATAACGGTGTAGAAGTCCTCCTTTTGGGGCAAATAACAATATATCTTCGTTCAGATTCCATTTATGGAGAGATGGACCGTAAGGGATGAGATAGTCTCCCTCCTAAAAATTTAAAATTATCATATATATATTAAATTTTTGTTTATATATTTTTTATTGGAAATTATTTTTGTCCCTTGATTTTTATAAATTTGTTCGAACTAAAATTTTAGAGGTTCGCTCCTAACATAAAATCGTACATTTGACAATGTTTACGGTGTTTCCAGTTAAATGAACACTTAATTCATGTTTAGGAATGCAAAATAGGTTTATTGAAAAACTTTAGGACTCATTGACTATCTTTGTTGATTAGAACGACTTCTGATCACAAACAACATGGTTGAAATATGAGTTGGTTCGAACAAAGGAAAAGAAAATGAAAGAAAAAAGAAAAAGGAAAATGAGAAAAAACTTTTATAGAGATCTAAACGATGTTGCTTGGCTTAAATTTGTTTTTTAGGAATCCAAAATGACGTTATTTTGAAATAAGTTGTCATGTCATAACATCGTTAATTATTTAACAACATAATGACAAAAAATGAAACAATATATAAATTTAAATTATGATTTTAATCTATTTTTAGGCCGATTTTTATCCCGCTTATAATATATAGAATGGGGTGATATTAGTCTCAAATTAAAGGCAAGTTGTAGTACTGCACAGCTATGCTTATAAATTATGAAAATTTAGCAGTTTACATACCGAAAATAAGACTTAAACATGTCTATAGAAACTATAGTGTGGGCTGAGAATCAACTGTCCTCGCGTCCTGCATCAGACTATTTAATGGGCGTACCTAGAAAGTCCAACCACGTAAGACGGAATGCGTGCCTTGGGGAGCACGAGGATGGGAATTGCAATCTTCAAAGTGCGAGAACGTCCTACGTGGTAGTTTAGGGTATTTTTCTAAATAATAGCTTGAGGGGGGCATTTTTCTAAATAATTATTTAATGGGGTTTTAATATAAAATTGTACTTTTTTGTCACCTAAGTAAAAAGCGTATTCTAAATAATTATTCTATTTACGTGATACAAAAGATCATACTTTTTAAGTTAAATTTAAATGAAAGAAAAAGTAAAATAAAGGTAAAAAATTTGAAAAGAAAAATAATAATTGTCCTGAATTTGAGTAATTATGTTTATAAAATATGTGAGTATCATTCATGATTAATTATTTTTTGAATATATGCTATCTTATTATCAAAATACTATTAAAATGATAATAAATGAAGTGATAGACAAAATAATAATAAAGATAATAATTTTAAAGATAATACAAACTAAATAAAATTTTAGATAAAATATAAAGGAAAAGATATATTAAGTCAAAATAAAATTACAAATGAACACTCAGTTATTTCTTGTTTTCACACTCAGTAGCTACAATTCGTTTTAGAAAAAATGTTAATATTAAAATTAATGTTTTAAAAATCAAATTGATTACCCTTTTTAACCAATAACAAAAATTTAATATTATATTGTTAAGAATATTTATATAATCAAATTCAATGTAATCTAATTCGTGCTTCCTTATTGTATTAATAAAACAAGAATTAACTTTAAAATGTTAAATTTATTTTTCTTTACCAATTTGTGGTTTATCAATTATTTAAGATTTATAAATTGATTTTTTAATTGATTTTTTTGTTCAAATTATTTTTAACAATCATTTTTAAAGGTGTTTTTTACGATTATTCAAACAAAAACATATAAATAAACATAATTGTAAACCTCATTAAAAAAATTTCCTAAACCTATACGATGCTAACAATCATATTTAAAATATAATATATTCGATTATATTCTAACTCAGTCCTACAAGACATGCAAGAACATGTAACTGATTTTTTTATAAATAAAATGGTTATTTTTATGTCATAATTATTTTAATTAAAAGATAATTAGTTGTATGTGCTCCAACCGAAATAGAATGTGAAAAGATTAATTAGTATTATCACTTTTGAAACGCCATGTTAATGTGGGCCGTCGTGGTTTGTAAAACTATGCTTTCTTCCTTGACATAATAAAGAGATGTTTTTTAAAAAATATATACTGAATTAGTTAAAATAAATATTGTTTTTAAGGTCATGGTTTAAGTAATTGATTCTATAAAGTGTGTACGTTGTCAATAATTAAAAAAATTATAAACATATACTACCTTGTAATCATCCTAAACTACTCAAAAATATTGAGTGACCTCATCAGTTAAACAAACACACTCTACAAACCTGACTGCTCAAACTTAGAATCTCTAAAAAAAAAACCATCCTTATATAAAAGAATTTATATGTATAACATCCACATTTGACAGAGTCAAAAATTTTAATGCTTTTTTTGAAAAATCGAATTGCAAACAGTTTTTGAGAGTTATTATTATTATTTTTGATTAAATTAAGGTGATTATAAAATAATATATATTATAAATACTTTCAACCATTTGACAATGAACGCTCATTCACCCTTACAGTTGTTAATGTTCAAACCCATGACCTCTAGGAACAATGATGATTCCTTTAACCACTAAAGTAAGTTGATTCGTGCAGTTTTTGAAGATTTATTTGGATACGCGATTTAAGTTTTTTATTCATTGTTAAATTCAAATTCAA